TAAATAAGCATTGTTTAAACCTTTAAAGTATTGTAAGTGTATTATTATTTTCATTTAGAGTGTTAGAGTACCTTTTTTTTTTATCTAGTAATTTTGCTTACTTATAAAGTAAACTACTCTAGAGACTAATGCCCAACAAAGGTAGGGAAATGAAAACAGTCCCTTTTTCCTACAATAAAGTTTGCCACACCTAAAAAGGTACTAAACGTCATAATGCTAAGAGAGCCTCCTTGGATGTACACTCTTTACCACTATGAACCGCAGACTAAAATAAAACTGTCTTATTTTTATCCCACGGTTAATATTATATCCAATAATTTTCAATTCAGACCAATTGTGTCAAAAAAATAAAAAATTATCTGACGATAAGCGAAACAGCAAAGTAAATGGGGATATTGATGAAGCATTGTACATATACCACACATTTCCTTCCTTGTGCCACTTCCAATTGCTCTAATCATTGTAAGTCAGCTAGACTTTAGGATCTTGCTTTTTTGTTTATTCCTTTTGTACTTCATGGTGGACTATAAGTACTGTGGCACTTCTTATCTTTCAATTTGTTACGATCATCAGTGATAACAAGCTTTTTATTTTGTCAGAATGAGTTGTGAAGTCGGTAAGTTTTATTTGTACCATGCATTTTATTAATACAACCCTAATAAATGTAAATTTGCGTTTTAGTAGAGTAAGATAGGATAAAGGTTTACAAAAGGTTGTCCGATTAAGGGAATAATTCTTTATCCTTGACCACGTCAAATTTATGTTGTATGACTTTACATAGTATATATATAAGGTAATTTATACCTCACCTTTGTTAGAAAGAGTCATTTTTTTTATTGTTTGTAATACTTGTGCTTATAAGATTTTGTCGTATGATTAGATGTCATTTTGTAAATTTATATGTAATGTCTAATAAGGGCAAAAGTTAATTTATTATGATTACATAAGCTCTGAAAATATTTTGTCTGACCCTACTAATATTGTAACCTTATGCCCTTGAGTAAATTTCAGAGTTGATATCTTAGGGAGATGTTTATTTTATAAGTATTGTTTCAGTACCTAGGTGAGTGTAATGAATTATGTGGTTCATGAATATTTACTTAAGTGGTTTAGGTACTCTGTCATATGTATACCACATGAGTATTTTTGAGTTTTGACATGACTTGGTTATATATTTTTCTTTTTGTAATACCATGGCATTTTAAAACCTTTTACTATATGATTATTAGAGTCTAATCTAGTTACAGTTTTCTTTATTTTAATAGTTTAAGTTTCTTAAAACAGATTAATTAGTTTGTTACATATAAAACAAAAGAATTTAATAAAAAGATTTTCATTATTACCAAAATCTAGATACTTACAATTTAAACCCTTTAATTATCTTTTATTTATTTACAAATTAACCCTTTTATTTTCCTATAAATACCCCCTAATTTTCTCATTTCAACACACCAAAAAAATCCTACTAAATCTCTCTCTAAAAAATCCTTTGCTAATCTCTTGCTTTAGTTAAAATCTCTCTAATTTAGCTTTATTAGCTTATAAAAAAGCATCATCTAGATAAACTAATATATCTATTTTTATTTAAGTATTGTTATTATCTTTAATTCCTATAAAAAAAACCACAAAAAAGTATTTTTTATTTTAAGTTAAAGTATTATTGTTATTGCTTATCTTTGTTTAAACCAAAAAAAATTAGTTTAATTGCTTAAGTATTCCTAGTCTATATTAAAAACAAAATGAAAAAGTTTATTTCTCAAGATCTAACTTTATTTTTCAAGAATTATTTCAAGTTTATTTTCTTTAATCAAAAATCCAAAAAAAAAAAAAACGGTTCATTAGCTTTATTTTCACTAGTTTCTCTTATTATCTCAAAAATTCCCAAAAAATATCACTTAGCCTTCTCTTGATTCACTTTAATTAAGGAGATCTCATCCTTTAATATTGGTAAGCCGAAGGTGTTATTTAAAAATAGCTACATCTAGCTCAAGGTATTATTCTTCTTCCTTTCTTAATTTCCTTAATTATTATTATTATTTTAACTATTGTGTTTGTTTTCATGTGATGTTACCAATAGGAGTGATGACGATATTAGGTGCTAAATTATCCCTAAATCTTTCATTACTTCATATTAGAAAACCAAGCCTACTGGTGAGGTGATAGGATATGGAAAAAGGGGGGTTTAGATGCATTTGCATTTCATCTTTGTTTAAATTAAAATATAAAGTGTTAATGCAATTATGTGTTTGTCTAAAATATATAGAAAGAATAATTTCTTTCTTAAGGTGAGTTTAAAGATCTAAGGAAGTTAGAGTTTATGTAAAGAATATTCAAGGATAAAGAGTAACCTACCACGTCTTAAAGATCTCCAATGTCGTAAGATCTCTTACGTCATGAATCAGTTCCCTTTCTTTAGCTCAAGTGATAGGATTTTTCAAGAGCTTTCCAACTGTATCTTACAATAATTTTTTCGATTTTTTTATGATTTTTAATGATTTTTTTCGTTCAAGCTATCTAAAATGTAAAAAAGACACGTTTTTCTCTTAATTACTTTTTAAAAATTGTATTAAATTATTTTTAAGAAACTAATGGTGTCATGGAACTTATATTACAGTATGTATGTAATTTTAATTTTTAAACTTTATTAATTAAGTGCTCTTTTTAAGAAGACTTAATCTTGTCTAATGATGACTTTTGAAATAAAAGAGTTTTTAAGAGAATTTAATTTCATCCAAAGATGATTTTAGAAATAAAAGAGTTTTTAGAAGTTAACCTTATCTAAAGATGATTTTAGAAATAAAAGAGTATTTAGAAGTTGACCTTATCTAAAGATGATTTTATAAATAAAAGTGTTTTTAGAATTTAACTTTATCTAAAGATGATTTTAGAAATAAATAGAGTTTTTAGGAATTTGATTTCATCTTAAGATGATTTCAGAAATAAAAAGACATTTTTAGAAACTTTAATTTCATTTTAAGACGATTTTAGAAATAAAATATTTAATAATTTTGTGAACACTTTATTTCAAACCCTTTTGTAATACAAGAATGAATCATAACTTTGCATACTTGTTTTAATAATTAATGATAATTAATATAAGGTAATGGCCTCATTTTCAAACATGATTACATGAGGTTAAGATTAATTATTTAGTTGTATAAGGTTGTAACAATTATCCATCTCCATAACAATAAGCCTACATCCCATTATAATTACCCGATGGATTAATTGACAATCGGATATGATTAAATAGTTTATTTTTATTTGGAAGTAAGGCCTTGACAGGTGTTGTGTTTTATTTGGTCAATTCCATTAGCCTAAACACATAACCTTTAAACCACTACAAAAATTACCTTTGAGTGATTTTAAAACCTAATAAGTGAGATTATATAGTGAACACCTATCGTTTCACTTCAAAAAGTACCTTGACACACTAAAAAGTCGTCAATTGGGACGCATTTGTTGAATTGTCTTGTTCAGAGGACATTTTTGGTAATAACTAATTGGGGTAATTTTCCTCAACCAAGGTGGTTCATTTTACTTTTATGAGTGAATCCGTCAATCACTAAAATCCCACTTACAAAATGACGCTTATGTCAACTACCCAAATTAAAAGCCCAATGGAATTGGTTATTTAAAACATGACATTTGTCCGAACTACGAAGGTTTTGATCCGTGAGTGGATTCAAATCCCACTATGATCGGTACGTAGTGCAACTTTGGTGCTCAAACCTACATTATACTAATTATTATATCATTTTATGTGACTAACATGCCTTAAAACTTGACTTTAAACAACGCAATAGTAAGAGCCCGTTCTTTAGAACGGAAGGGAAGACGAGTTCCAGACGTTCGATTCTCTTAACCTAAATCCCGAACCCAAGACTGTGCCTTATTAATTTAAATTTTTCTAATAGAGTTAGCAGTTGATTTTTAGTTTTATTTCTTAAAATTAATTGTTTTAAAATCCGTCCTTATTCGGGTAAAAATAAGGTGGCGACTCTAAGTTTAATAAAAGTCTTATTAGACATCTAAGTGGAACTTCATAGACTAATTTGTCCACTAAAAACTAGTTACCATAATATCACCACCCTTCTCCTATTTTCGATCAGTTTTCCGATTTAGGGGGCTTACATAATGGTTGTATTCTTCTTCTTTGCTCTATTTTTTTCCTCTACTCCTGAAAAATCTCTCAAATTTTTTCCAATTCTCCTATTTTTTGCACTTAATCAAGGAAATTGATAAAGAAATCATTTAAAATGGAGATTTTTTGAGTTGGTAATTAGAGTTCTTACAAATTAAGTTAGTGATTTTTTTGAAGTTGACCCACGAAGTCTTATTAAAACCCGAAATGAGCAAACCACCTTGACTGGGTACCGATATATTAGTGGTGGCGCTTAAGTTGAGGGTGTTGTGGTGTAGCAACAGCGAAGATGTGGCGCCTTGTTGTTGTGTTTGGTTTAATGGTATTGGAGCGATTTGGGTGACACTGTTGCGGGTTGGAATTGCGGCATGAAGGAAGGTGAGAATTGTTGGTGTGATGGTGTTGCGGGTTCAGTGGTGGTGGATGAGTGGTGGAGCTTCGAATAAGGTGGCGGTTTCGAAGGTGGATGAATGGTGGGTTTCGAAGTTGGACCTGCACGCGACAAGAGAAGGAATGTGCAATGCCCCCCCCCCCAATCTCAAGTCAGATTTTAGGCCGAAATGGGGAAAAGGGGGGGGGGTGAAACTTACTGATTTTGTTTTTATTGGGTGGTATTTTTTAATTTCGAAAAAAATAGGTGGATAGTTCAACAAAGGGTGCTTTGAGTTTTAGAGATGATTATTTATAAAATTTCAAACAAATGTGGACAAATTTATTAGTAAGATCTTACATATTTAGCAATTTGTAAATAGTGAAATCGATATTGTGCATAACCAGGGGCGGATCTTGGTTAGGGCGGGTAAGGGCCCGGCCCCCCTTAAGCATATTTGAGTTGTTGATTATAAGTAATATGATGTCTTATAATTACAAATAAAATGTTGTGGCATAGTAGTTAAGTATTGTATTTTTGTGCAAAAGGTTGATGGATCAAACTTTGGCCCCCTTAATTTTTTGGCCCAAGATCCGCCACTGTGCCTAACCTTGAGTTGGCAAATTGTGTATGCTATTTCCTTTGTACTCCATAATAAATTGAGAAATTGAGGATGAGTCAAACTTTAAGGGATAGATCATAGATGAAGTAATTTACAACGTGCACGTACCACGTTTGTTAGTTGTTGAGTCAATTCGGTCGTTAACTCGTTATACTCGTTTAGAATAAAATCATTTTCTTATCCTAAAAAAATTACATAAACACCCCATTTTTCACATGCAGACAAAATAATCCAAACACATGCAATGACTGTACAACACGTGTCAAACCCACCTTCTTCAACCTCAAAAATTAAAATTTAAAAAAATAAAAAAACCAGCGCCTGAAAATTTCTCTCTCCTCCATTTCCAACCTCTTATCTATCTCTACTCCCGCCATTGTCAACGCTCACCATTTTCTCTCTCCTCCTCCAAGCTCCAACAATGGCGGCCAACCTATTCAAGATCTCACTTTCTCTCTCCACCGCTTTCCCCGCCGCAACCGCCTTTCGCCGCCGCTATATCCGCCGATCTCACTCCCCAATTCTCTCTCCTCTCCCGCACAATCCTTCTATCCAACGTCGCCGGAACCCTAATTTTGTCGCAGCAAAGGCTGTCGAGTTAAATATTCCGACTTCAAACTCAACTTCGTTGCCGGAAAATCAAGTTCCGGCGGAATCCTCGTTTCTACTCGATGTCGGCGGGATGATGTGCGGCGGTTGTGTAACTCGCGTGAAGAAATTGCTCGTATCTGACGATCGCGTGGAGTCTGCGGTGGTGAATATGTTGACGGAAACTGCTGCAGTGAGGCTGAAATCGGAGGTTTCCGGCGGTGAATTTGTGGCGGAGGAGTTGGCGAAGAGGTTGTATGAGTGTGGATTTGAGGCGAAGAAGAGAGTTCCTGGTAATGGAGTAGGAGAGAGAGTGAAGAAATGGAAGGAAATGGCGGTGAAAAAGGAGGAATTAGTTGAGAAGAGTAGAAATCGAGTGATTTTTGCTTGGACTTTAGTTGCTCTTTGTTGTGGTTCTCATACTAGTCATATCTTGCATTTTCTTGGAATTCATGTTGCTCATGGTATTTTTATTTTTATTTCTAATTTCAGCTAATTTATTTGATTGTAATTTGAGTTTCGATGTCTATAAATCATTATGTTACTGAATAACTTGTGAATTTATGATCTTAATTTTGTGTTTTGGGGATGCAGGAGGAATCTGGGATGTGCTGCATAATGCGTATGTGAAGGGTGGTTTAGCTTTGGGAGCTTTGCTGGGACCGGGAAGAGGTTCGTGTTTTTGCCTTTCTGTCGTAATTTTTATGAGAAAAATTTAGAATTCTTAGCTGATATTTCAATTTGATGAAAGAATATACAGGATGTAATGCATGTTCTTTGTAGTACTTGAGATATCAGGAAGTTTGTTTCTCCATTGTAGAACTTCAAATTATTGCATTTGCACAGTTGGACTATTAGCTTATTAGATTATGGGGCTATGTTTGGATTTCTTTGTAGTGTGCTCATTGCCTTACTCCTTCAACTTAATGCAGTTGATACAAGTTGTGCCAAGTTTCTAAATTCTTTTGTTTTATTTGAGTTTTTTGAATTGAGCTAATGTATAAACTATAAAGCTTGGCAAGATGAAAACTGAAATATCGTCCTGAACTAGTGAAAAATGAATAAAAACTCCATCCTATGATTTTCCGGCTTCCCAAATTTCTTAGTTACATCTTTGCTTCAGTTGCTTGTGTTACACTGTCAACTTGCCTTGATCCCTACTTTGGACCTTGGGAGTTGGGACATTATATCAAGTATGAGAAAAGGTGGTAGCGAGATCTTTCAAAGTGAAGCACCTAATGTGAGTGGTGTTATGGTATGTATTATAATTGAATGTAAGCCTCTTTGTTCTGCTGAAGTTAGCCGACCCTCCATGGCACTTTTACTGCTCCTTATTGTCTCTAGTTATTTCATTTGCATAGTGAAGTTTTTTTAACCTACTTAACAGTTCAAGAATGTGGCAAAATCTCTTTTTTGATATTTTGAAATACAAAGTACTGTAGATCAATTTTGTTAAGAATTGAAGATTGACATTGTGTACTTCTTGTGTCAGATTTGCTGTTTGATGGTATCAAGGCATTTGCCAAGGGTTCTCCAAACATGAATTCTCTAGTAGGATTTGGATCAGTTGCTGCTTTTATCTTGAGTGCTGTAAGACTGTTTTATCAATGAGAATTCTTACATTTCAATGCATTAATTTTGAATTATTTATCTGCTATTTTGTACTAATATTGTATATTAATTTTCTTTCCCTTGCCCAGGTCTCACTTGTCAGCCCTGAACTTGAGTGGAATGCTTCATTCTTTGATGAACCGGTGAGTTATCACATTTACAAGTTACAAAGTTGTTATGATTTTCTTCCGCAATTTTCTCATTTATTTTTGAGGTCACTCAACTGGCCACATTATATATTTTAATGATGTTAAAATCAACTAATGTCTTTTGATGTCTTCTTATTCAGTAGTACTTTATATAATCTAATGCTATTATATCTAGGAATTTCTTTAGATCTGTTAGCAAATCAGACATAACCAAGCACGATATGTCAATATATATGGCTATTGACTATCATCTCCTCCCATGATATAATGGATTTTATCACGATATAATTAGTAGATGATTAAAAAACGATTAATTACAAAGATTATCATATTCTACCTATGATATATGAGGGGTCAGTGTTTCATGGGAAATTGTATCCCATTCCCATGATATAATGGATTTTACTTCTTCTAGATGATATGTTAAGAACAAGGATTTTGTGCATCTTGGAAACTTCACCAGTCCCTCCAAAGAAAGGACAAAAATAAGTGAGTAAAGAAAAAAAGGGATAGTGTTTGATGTATCAAGGGTTTTAGGTTTCTTGAGATTTTGTTTCATTTTTTTTTTCGTATATAATTTATGAAAGTGATGCTCAACATGCTTATTCTAATCAATCTTTTGTAATATCCTCCTCTCAATCCCTTTTTTTTGGGTGTCTTTTAATTATTCTTTTATTACTGATGCATGAAGGTGGTACATTTCTCATATGGTGACATTGGCTTTTAGTATGCAGGTCATGCTTCTTGGTTTTGTGCTTCTTGGTCGTTCTTTGGAAGAAAGGGCAAGGATCAAAGCCTCTAGTGACATGAACGAACTTTTAGTAAGTGTTATAATATCTGGTGGCTCTTTTTAATATTTGATCATGTAAATTCGCTTGAGAAGCTCAGCTACAATATTTACTTAAAACATTTTGACAGAACATATATAGTTCATTCTTTGCATCCATGATTCCATCCTTTACTTTTTGATAAGTTCTACAGCATCTCAACTTCATTTCTGTAATGGCTGTATTAAAAGCTGTATGGGTGGCGACTGGCAAGGGCTGTGGGTCGTACTTTATAATGCAAAGCAATTTTATTTGGAGGCTCGCTGTACAAATAGGAAAAGGCCAGAAACAATGTAGCATTATCTATTCTCACTTTTCTTATGTCGGCCCGGGTTTTTATTTATGTGCTGAATGAGAGTATCATACATTATGAATCTTAGTTATTTTCTTTTCCCTGATTAGAGACGTGGTGGTTTTAGATTCTTTTTTCTTTTTTTTTTTGTCTTTTTTTTTTTTCCTTTTTTTCTGAAGTCTACGAAGGTGCAGTTTTTGTGCTGCTAATTATGGTATTCTACGAGATCGTGGGATTGAGAGCTATAGAGCTTTTTCCCAGAACTTGTTAGTTCTTTGGATTCTTTTTTGCCTCGATTATGTTCTTTCCCGTTTTCTGTTGATCAAGAAGGGGTGAGTCTCAGTCTTAGGCACAACATTTTACAAAGACCCTTGTCATTGGAGGCAAATTAAGCAAGGGATGAGCTCTGTTAGTTGATGGTTTCTAAAAAAATTATTAAACGTATCTCATACTCAGTAATCAGCACCAACCAACTTTCCTCTGCTAGCTCAACTCTTATTAAAATTAAGTAGACACCAAAAATAACAATCTAAAACACTTTGTATCCTTTATACCTTTATCCCTGGCATAATATTGTTGTGATTGTTTTACTTCAAAAATAGGACACAGTGAGTATTTACAGAGAAAGTGGTTGGTTTATTGCAGACTCAAGATGGTGGCAGAAATTTGGCATATTATTTGAGATATACTTCATTCTAAGTCACGCCTTTTACTGGAAGAAATCAAAGCAAAATATGTTTTCCACACTTCAATAATTAGATAGAATTTAGTGGTAATATACAAGCTTTATGGGACCTTTTAACTTGTGCTATATCCTAATTGTTCTTGTAGACAATATTTCTAGACATCTTAAGAAGTGAGTGATAATCATAATTGATTTTAAACTTGCACGTGATGGTTTCATATGTTGATTGTATCATTGAATCTCAATGAGTGAGAGCTTAAGTGGCATTCTTGAGCTCCACAAATCCTATCTGTTTTAGACATCGATCGCATCTTGACAAATTATGAATTTTATGTTGCAGTCTTTAATATCTACTCAAGCTCGACTTGTCATCACTTCCTCAGAGAGTGATTCTTCTGCCAACGAAGTGCTGGCCTCTGATGCCATTTGTATTGAAGTTCCTACTGATGACATTCGAGTTGGTGATACTGTGTTGGTTTTACCTGGAGAAACCGTACCTGTGGATGTAAGCCTATATCTTACTGTTCTGAACTCTTTTGCTTCCTACTCAGTCCATTAAGGTGCAGTGTATCTGCTGGCGTCTTTTGACATTTCTGCATTTAAAATGTATGTCTGTGTAAAGAAAATAATTGTTGGCATGCATAATGACGAGTTGGCTATGCAATTATATGTGTTCCAGGGAAAGGTAATTGCTGGAAGAAGTGTTGTGGATGAATCTATGCTTACTGGAGAATCTCTTCCTGTATTCAAGGAGGCAGGGCTTTTTGTGTCCGCTGGGACAATAAATTGGGTATGCAATCTATGCAATTAATGCTTTTCTAGTACTGTGAATATCGCAAATGGTAATGTCTGATTTCCCCTCAAATTTTATATGACATTTTATTCCTGCACCTAGATTAGTATTGGTCCTCCAGAATCTTTGATGAGCCATTTGTATTGGCCTTCTGTTATAGGGGAGTAGGGGACAGGCTGTGTAAAATGTAAATGAGCATATTGTGAAGAATTACTATTCCTAAAACCCATATAACTTAATTGTATCGTCTGGAATTTATACAAAGCGATACCATCACTAATTTACTTTAGTGCTTACAATGATGTTCCTGCCTAGGATGAAAGAGAAGAGTATTATATGTTTTTAGCCCTAAACCTAATGATGTTTTACATTTACCCATGACTATCAAGGCAGCTAACAGACAAGGGTTGGCTGGGACTACGGCAACTCAACTCGTCTTAGTCTCTCTTGAGAAATACCTAAATAGTTCTCATAATATTTTGTTCACTGCTGCATGTTGCACACATATTTATTTGTTGATGGTTTATTAAAAAATAGAAGCATTTTCAGGGCAAAGCAAAAATAAATTATATCATTCTCTCTTTCTTTTTTTTTTCCCCAGGATGGTCCAATAAGGATAGAAGCTACTTCCACAGGCTCCAACTCTACTATATCCAAAATTATTCACATGGTATGTAAATATGTAATTTACCATTTTGCATCCCTTAAACATATACTTCCTCCAGTTCAATATGATTGCACCATTTATAAATGGCACTTTATGTAAGAAAGATGAAAGAGAATGTTAAAAAGGCAACAATACCTACCTAAGGGTGAGTAGAGAGATGGGAATGGGGTCATGAAAGGATTATTTGAAGGACAATATGATTGTTTTTTGTCGTAATATTCCTACCAAATAAGATAACGGTGCAATTATTATCTAATTTCCGAAAAAGGAATATGGCTCAATTATATTGCAATCGTTGAAGTATTGAATAAGCAAGAAACAGTGACTCTCCACAAATGTGATCCATTCTGTTTTCTTTTTGCCAACAGTGTAAATCATCTTTACTTTCTAGTTCTTAGCTAATAAAATGATTGTAGTTTTTAATATATCTCACACATATACTTACTCACTTATACACACATGTGAAATTACAGTGATGAAGCTGCCAGCTTGCAAGAAAATTAATATATTTGAAGCCAGTCATCTAAATTTCATGGTATAAGATCACATTCAAATAACTAAGTTTTTACATATTCATAATCTTTAATCCATGATCACTAGCTATATCTGTCATTAATATGAAATGTTAAAATGGAACTTGCCGATTCGAATCTTCCTAATATGGTGCATCCCATATTGCCTAATCTCTTAGTCCCTTAAATAGGAATGTAGTAGTGGGAGCTGGTTGCACCTGCAGGAACCGCCATGAAAATTTCTTTGCATAAATATCATGATCAGCATGTAATAGTTTAGGAACTTTCATGTGATGGAAATAAATTTGTTCATGGTTTATCATCAATAACTCAGGTTTCCTAATTTTCATATAATTCTGAGGGTAACATTTTTCTATTATGTTTATATATGGCTTTATTATTTTCAGGTTGAAGATGCCCAAAGTAATGAAGCACCAATACAAAGGCTTGCAGATTCAATTGCTGGACCGTTTGTCTATAGTGTGATGGCTTTTTCTCTGATGACATTTGCCTTTTGGTATGTCACTAGTTTTTTAGGTCTGGTTTTAAATGATACATCTGAAACTTTTAATTTTAAAAAGCGTGTCTGGCGCAAAGACGGTACTAAAGGCGTGTGCCTATGTGCTTTTTTCCAGGCTTCAGGCACAGAGATCTTTGCGCCTTATGTTGTATGGTATCAATAGCTGATGTGTAAGATAGTTTTAAAAAAAGAAACCACGTGACTTTACAACAATCAGATTTACTTTATAACTAGAGGAGAGAGAAAACCCATATCCCCCAATTTCATTCAAAGAACCCTAGCTATTGATCGGATGGCCCTTTCACCTTTTCTCATAATTCTTTTTTTAGACTTAATAACAGAAATTAATTAATTTTTTGTTATATTTAAAGTGCGCCTTCGCATTGCGCCTAGGCTCCAAGGACGTTTGCACCTTGGTGCGCCTCAAACTAAGCAGACACTTATGCATGAGGGACTACTCATGGTCAATGTGGGGGTGGTGAGTGATGATATACCATACTGTAGCTACCTAGTATTACCCCAGATTCTATGAGTTTCTTGCTAGACTGTAGAATAGGGCTGTGTGGGGTCTCGACTCACACATGCAAGTGATGCAACCTTACCCATTGAATTGTGAAAAAGCCTTTTGTGATGCTTTTGATGAGCATAAGAGTCAAAACCAAAATTTCTGAAGCAGTGGCTTTCTTAAATAAATCAAATCTAAACAAATTTGGATATTGTGCTTATAGAGCCAATCAAGGTTGTTCCTCGTGACAAATGTCATACTGACCAGAACCCTTGAACTATTGAACCACACTCTTTAAACCAACCAAGGTCTTGACATATGTAAAAGCATACACCTTGAGAATGAAGAGATCTTTTTGTTCCACCATCTAAGGTTCCCAGTACTGTATATGAGCTCAATGATGTTCTTACACTATGCCATTATTGTCTTCTCATCTTCATTGGAAAACCTCTGAAGCCACTTTGCCTTTGGATCTTTATTCATCAAATGGAAGGACTTGATGCCAAAACCTTGCTTGGGTGGACAAATCAACATACAACTTCCAACTTTATCCAATGGAAACCCTATCAGAATCATTGATATCCTACAGGAATTCCAGTTCAAAAATTACAGCTTTGAAGCCCCTCTAGGCAGGATAGTGAACATGGACATATGTCAATAAGGAAGCTGAAAAGTTTTTTTTTTTTTTTTACAAAAATCTCAATGTAAATCTACTCCTCACGACAAAAAGCTGCAAGTCTTTTTTGGATTCTCTCAGTAATAGAATCCATGACAAAAATGCACTTGAAAGGTGCACATTAAGGAAGACACGAATTAGTTAAGGAAAAAATTCCACCGCACAGCCTAAAAAGTCAGCTATAGAGTCCAAATTCAAACATCACCAACTTGAAATAGCACCATCTACTACTGAAAGTTAGCCCTTAAGCCTGCAGACTGCAGTACTTTAAAAACTCAGAAGAGCACATGTCAAGTAACCCAAGTTATTGTCGTCAAGTTTGCAAACAAAATTTTATCATCACCAGTAAAGAGTTGAGAATTGTTATATTTTTATTGCTTGTTGACTTTTGTAGGTCATCAATCGGGACAAAATTATTCCCTGATGTCTTGCTGAATGACATTGCTGGTCCTGAGGGTAGTACTTTGATCTTAAGCTTGAAGCTGGCTGTAGATGTGTTGGTAAGTAACAACACTCAATTTGACCTATACTAAGAAAAAAAATTATGCTTATGGTCATTTAATTTCTCCATCTAAGGTGATTTAAACAGAAAATAGGATGTAGTCTAAGGTTAAAGTTACCAAGCAAATTATACTGTCATATACAATTAGTCTTTTTCTTTTAATAGATTTTTTCAGTAGAATATATGCCCCAACCTGACGTGCTATAGTGTATATATGCTTGCATCTCCCTTTTTATTTTGTACACAATATACAAAAAGAAGTCTGTAGTACAACCACACATACTACTCCATTAATAATTATTGAAAATTTTGTTAGATTTTTTGTACTCCACACATCTGTTTCCAGATAGTATACATTCCAAAGTGTGATACATATGATTTCTTTTGCCCTCTGTGTACTTCATGAATTTTCTATTGGTATTTAGACAATTGAATTAATACAGTTATCCTTTTGGGATTTCCATCAATTGACTTTTCTTTGATCCTTATGCCTTTTCCTTTCTTGTTCTCCATGCTATCTCAGTCATCTTCCTGTTTTATCTATTTATCTCTTAATTGGGCAGTTTTTCCTACCATCTGCCACTGAAGTCAAGACCCTGCCTATTCCTTTTCTTCTTTTGGGGGGATGGGCAGTGACAAGGGTGTATAAAGTCTTGCTGATGCAAGCTGAATCATCGAATTGTTACACTCCTGCCAACTAAGCGGATGCATAACCATCATGTGTCCCCATGGAAGCATGCATGGCTCATAAAAAAACTGAGGATTTAGGAACATGCCTTTTGTTGTCAATTATTGTTCTATCAAACACCAAAAAACTTACAATAGTAATTGAAATACAAGCCTTCACAATTAGAATACCTTAACTCATACTTGACTTCTTTCTCCCACCTTTTAGGAAGGGTTGACAGAGGAAAGCTTTAATGTGCAAAGAGCTTACGTAATAAGATGTGCTTTCATCAAATATGTGCTCCTTCAGGACACTCTGAGCAGCATCTCTCTCAAATCAGTATCCATTGATTAAAATGTTTTTCAAAAAGCAATCTTTCTTTTGAATCGATCATTGTAAATGGTGTTAGTGAACTTAACTTTTAATTAAAAACTATAAATATTGTCAAAATGTTTTGTAGATATGTATTTGCTCTTCACTTAACTGAGAATCATGTGTCATACTCTTATACAATCACTCCCTAGGACAAACTTTTCTTATACAGCCCCAGTACAATATTTCTATTTGATAACAACTAGGTCGTCACATGAAACACATCTCATGTTCCATTGTTGATCTATCATTATATTGGGGTTTGGTAAATAGCTAGTAAAATGATATTATCCATTTTGGGTACCCAAAGTTAGGCTTAATTTCACTTTGGTGACCTCTATTTTTTATATTCTCGTTTTGATTAATTGAGGCTCATAACCTCCACCAAAGCAGAACTAATACCTGCAATCACTGACATGAACAAAACAATACGTTGACCAAAGTAGGTAGCCTTTTGAAATTTTGATTTTTGATGTGTGTTTTTTTCCTCTTAAAAAACCATCCAAGTCTTTATCTAATAGTCTAAATTCTAGTTATTACACCTTATAAGCAATTTATTGATATGTTTTGGATCAATTATATGTGTTTTTCGGCTGTTGGATCAAAATTAATGTATCTTTGCAAGCTGCTGCAAATCCACCTGCTTTGATTGTGCTAAACATGTCAGCAAATTAATAGAGGTGTTGATTTTTTATTTGATGGAGGAGGTCACCAAAGTGAAATTTTGCCTATCCTAGGGTATCCAAGGTGGAAATCTTCCCTATTAATATGTCCTCCTTTCTTTCATTCTTTTCTTTTCCCCTTTCATCTTCACTTCTTAGCAGCCCTTATCTATATCTTCTTAGTGATCAGCAGTAATCTTTCTCTTTATCTCTCTTATTTTCTTCGCTGATGAATATTAGCTCTGCCAAAGCTAAATCATCCCTCCCCTTTTCAATTACCAATAGACTGATAAGTTAAGCTTTACCATCTGACTTGCTTTGACACAATTGTGCCTTCGTTCTGCATAATACCAATTTTTACAGCCTGTTTATAGGCAGTAAAACTAGTTATAATTGGTAAGGAATTTCCTGTAACTTTGCAAAGGAATAGTTAATGCCGATGTTCAAGATAATGCAACATTTCAACTCTACTCCAAAATTATGTGTTTCTTCTTCGTTAATTTCCATTACTTTGCTAGATATGGGCCTTGTAGCATTAAATGCCAATGGAAATTTTTAGAAACAGCTACGTATATATCTGGGGTGAAGTATTATCATGAAACTTGGCATGTGACTTTCCCTGCAAAAGCACACACAACCCCATTATCATTTAACTTATTTATGACCGCTTACCAAAGGGCTATTTATGCCCTCTTGAACAATCTTGGATAGTTTTTTTTTTTATTTTTTTTTATTTTTTTTTGACGGGAACAATCTTGGATAGTTTGTTATGTTAACTTAAAGGATACTAGTGGCATGCATGGTAAACTACCTCCCACTCCCCAGGCGATGACAACTATATATTTACATATATTTCATGAACTTAAGCTAATATCTCTCACTCACAGGTGGTCTCCTGCCCCTGTGCTTTAGGCCTTGCCACACCCACAGCAATTCTAGTTGGCACTTCCATAGGTACGTTACTTTGATCTTGCTTTTCTTTCTGCATAGTCGGACGTTTTAAAATCCCATATATTCAAACTTCGTTTTTAGCTAAATAATTAATAATAATTTCTCTTTCTTTTGCGTTTTCTTGATTATCAGGAGCAAGACAAGGACTTCTTTTAAGAGGAGGTGATGTGCTGGAACGCTTGGCTGGCATAGATTATATGGCTTTTGACAAGGTTTAATATATGTATTCAGTCATGCTCTTTGCTGAATATTTGAACTTGTTTGCAGAGCTGAGTTTAATTATCTTCGAATATCTGAGAAAGTTAATCTGCTAATTCATTGTTGTACATGTGTTTAGACAGGAACCCTCACAGAAGGAAAGCCTACTGTATCAGCTGTGGCTTCATTGGCTTATAATAGTTCTGAAATTCTCCAGCTTGCTGCTGCTGTAGAGGAAACAACATCACATCCGCTTGCAAATGCTATTTTGAGTAAAGCAAAATCATGTGGGTTGCAGATTCCATCCACAAGTAGACAATTAACAGAACCAGGTTTTGGAACATTAGCTGAAGTAGATGGACGTTTGGTTGCAGTTGGTGCTTTGGAATGGGTTCGTGAACGTTTTGAAACAAAGAACCTCTCTGATATAACAGATTTGGAGCGTGCCTTGATGCTTGAGTCGGCTAAACCAACTTCATCACTGGATAAGTCAGAAACGGTGGTGTATGTTGGACGGGAAGGAGAGGGTGTAATTGGTGCTATTGCAATCTCTGACGCCTTGAGGCATGATGCTGTGGCTACTGTGGCAAGGTACTTCAATTTCTCTTTGAAGTCATTTGAATACTAAAATGGATGTCAATCTTTTAAATTCTGTAGTTCTGTGCTTAAAAAAGGTATATTTTATGTCAAAATAGGGAGACTTAGCAGACAGCTTTTATAATGCAAGTTGAAGAATGAAAGTACCATTATATCTCTTGATCACACATCACAGGCACTTTTGTAGATTTATACAAGCATTTTTACATAAGGGTATCTGGTTCCTACTCTTCCTAGTTTCACATTAAACCTATGCAGGATACAGCTGCAGAGATTATCTCTATATGAACTTCTCTCTCTCCGAAATTTTAATTATGGACGGAGTATTGGAGTAGTACCAAATTTTGGAATTTTTGTGGAATACTACATGTGCGATGTGCTTAACAATATCTCATTTAGTCATTCTCGACTGGAGTTTAGCACCAAATTTACCATGCATTTATATTTCATTGCTCCATTCTTTTCTGCTAAAGCGCTTATTGCCTGATGGCCTTGCTTGCCCTAAACCAGGTAAATATAATGGTGATATTTGACCATATAAATTAGGTGAATGAGCTTTTTTTGAGGTTAAAAATCTACAGTATGCTTAGCAAAAAATTTCTACCCCGGTTCTTGATTTTTGGATACCCTGGCTCCTTTGTGTTACTAAAAGCAAACAGTAGCCATTTGGGTATGCTTTCAGAAACCATTTTTTTGTCATTATATTTCTTTAGCTTTGCTAAATGCTTTGTTCGAATGCACTGCTTGCAACTCAATATGTAGTGATGTTCTTAGATTAGCTTGCATAAATATAATTTGTTTACATTTCAATTATATCTCTCCCCAACATCCTTTCTCTATGATATGGTTCAAAAGTTGTGGGCCTCTAATAATTAATTTACCTGCTTATACAATTACTATAATAAGTTTACATGCTAATGCTGGATCTTATTTCTTCCCGGTTTGAAGGCTTAAAGGGATGGGAATCAAACCTGTCCTCTTATCTGGTGACAGGGAAGAAGCAGTTGCAAAAGTCGCAAAAATCGTTGGAATAAGTCGTGAGTTTGTCGAGCCATCCCTGAATCCTCAGCGGAAATCTCAATTTATATCAGATATACAAGCTTCAGGACATCGTGTTGCTATGGTATCTAGCCTCCTCTTTGGATTCTCTAGCTGCTAATTAAGCCCAAATCTTGCAATCTTAGCTTCTGAATTTTTAGCCTTTTGCTTTTATGTAAACTTATCTACTTATGTCCACCTCGCTCGCTGAAAATTGGGAGATGGTTTTATAAGGCATGATTTTTTCTAGTTAGTCTTATGTTATTTTGCATCATGTCGCCTTGAGATCTGCATAAAGTCCTTTGTGTAACCTATTTTATGTTGCTTCCTTGCATGCTTTCATCCTAAACATGAAGTTCCTTGCAGGTTGGTGATGGTATAAATGACGCACCCTCTTTGGCACTTGCTGATGTTGGAATCGCTTTGAAAACTGGGTTACAAGAAAATGCTGCATCTGATGCTGCTTCCATTGTACTTCTTGGGAACAGGATTTCACAGGTATCTTCTGCATGGAAATTCAAATTATGCAGTGTCTGCTGACACAAGTAAAAAGTATTCAAGGGAATAACTGAAAATTGTGATAGATTGCAAAATATCTATTCTTGGAAGACCTTCTCTTGCACTATGTTGTTTTATTAGATTTGATATTTCTTCATAATCTCTTCACCGTCCATTAGCATCCCCCCATTGCCCCCCTTTTGGTCCTTCCTCATGATTGCCTGCGCAAGCTGACTGTCGCAAGCAATATCAGCTTCAAAATTTTCTAGCTTATAGCTTTCAGCATCTCAAATTTTCTCGTGTAACTCTTTCTTTTCTCACTTACCCTTCTTCATTGCAGGTTGAAGAAGCTGTTGACCTAGCTCGCGCAACTATGAGTAAAGTACATCAAAATCTATTGTGGGCAGTTGCATATAATGTTGTTACAATTCCAGTAGCTGCTGGTGTACTGCTTCCCCATTTTGATTTTGCTATGACGCCTTCTCTATCAGGTATAGTTACATGACAACTGAGATACCTGGATTAGTGGTAAAGATTTGTATTAGAATTTATGTCCTCACCCAAAAAGGTAGCTAGGTCCTATATATGGGATGGGAAGGTTCAGTTTCTTCCTTTGATTATAAAGAAGGAAAGATTAGGGGGGGGGGGGGTGGTCAGCTTCGTCCTTTAGTGTGAGCATGGAGTGACAAAACAGTTCTTTACTTCTTTTATAATTATGTGCAATTTGGTATTTTGACTCCCTTACCTTAATGTTATACAATACCATTACCTCATTGTTTATAAGAATCTTCCTTCTAGAGCAGAGCAAGGAATAGGAGGATAGTGCTCAGATGCACACAGCCTTGTAATTGCAAAGACCTCTACAGTTTGAAATTCATTCTTTCTATACCCTTATTCTGAAGGCAACTCTTTTGTTATACACCTAATTCGAAGATGCATTTCCTGCAGTCAAAGAAGTTGCGGGGTATGAGAATTAAGTGGGAACTCGATGGTAGAGATCCCACCTCTTAACTATGAGGTTGAGATTCAATTCTCATCACCCCATTTATATGATTGAGGTAATCAACTAATCATGATGGCTTAACCCAGGGTAAACTCCTACTATCAGTAAAATGACTGATGTTGATGATACTGGGGAAACAGAGAGACCCAGCAACAGGATCATTAATTCATTATGACTTGTGACATCATTTGATAAGTCTTGAACCTTGGCTAGATTAACTAACCAGATTCTAATTTTGTAAAGTCTTATCTGTTTTCTTTTTTCTTGAGTTTTATTAAGCATTTACGAGCTGCTAATTTAAGAACATGTTCCGCCTAACATTTTAAGTTTAGGGTTTGTTTGGCATCACTGTGGTTTTCTGTTTTTTGGTTTTTTGTTTTTCAAAATCATATGATATACATATAATGAATCAAAAATTGGTTAAACTTATTAAAATCATGATAAATTTGAAAACTGACAACTAAAAAGTGAAAACACCTTTTTTTGTTTCCTATTTTTGGTTTTTTGTTTTTAAAAAAAAGAAAACTGAAAACCAAAAACGATGTCAAACAAGCCCTTAACAAATGATGTTCAGTTCTAGCTCTTAGGGGACCAACTAGAGTCTGCATTGATACGAAGGCATCCCAAACTACGCTTGAAGTAGCAAGTATTTGTCTGCCCATAGAAGCTTACTGATTGCTTTTCTTTATTTTCAATTATATCAGGTGGGCTTATGGCTTTGAGTTCAATTTTTGTGGTCTCCAATTCTCTTCTACTGCAGCTCCATGGTTCCAACAAAGAGAAGAAAGAACTTGCCTCAGGACTTCCAAAACAAGTCTGAAATTATTTATAGGGATTTCCCTTTTCATTTATAGAGATGATACCTTAACACAAAAAGGCACCATGCTTCACGGGCTGATAGGTGTCTTCTACGACAGGGTCACTGTTTTGGCACGAAACCTACACAGGCTACATTTGAAGAGATTATATTCCAGTTAATCTTGTAAATCTGTATTAATACACCCCAATTTTATTGTAAATGTGTATCATATGCCTATGGTTGTAAGTCTTGTCACTTGTAAGAAAGAGTGTCTTCCCTGTAGAATGTATAACATTGAACCTAGCTGTTCTATTATTGGCAAAATTTTGTCCCTTTGACATTTAATTTTTGTAAGGCCTCCAAGCATCAGTCTCCCTCGCTCTTGATCTCTTCGTTGTTCTCTCTGCATCAAGAGATAATTGCAGAGTCCTTGAGTAACATTTCCACCTCAATAAATAAGATAACGAGCATTGGTTCAAGATCATGCAATCATACCGTTAATTAACTTGTTCTTTGTCATCATTCTTATTTATGCTTTTAATTGGATGTTTGGGAACAAGCGGGTGCTTTGGTGCTTATTGTGAGAGGAAAATGAAGCGAGGACAAGAGACATAATGAGGTAAGTATGAAAATGACCATTATACATGATTACATATAAATGCAAATCGTCAGGTCTCTTTCTTGAGCGTCATTGAGGGTCGCTTAGTAAATGTGGGGTTGATCCTATATGTCTTCAAGATTTGGAAGTAACTGCATTTTCGGAGTTTTGGGACCTTACCGATTTCTCCTCATCACTCGGAAAAGCTTATCGCTTATCCTTCTTCCATATACTACCTTCGTTTTTTTTTTTTTTTTTTTACACGTTTTGACTTTAACACTATTCACATATTTTCCTTTTACCGTGTTTTATGCTTTATATATATAATGAAAAATATAGTCACGTGGGATCTTGTTAAATTCGTCACGATATATATTTTCAAAATATAAAATTTTCATAATATTTGCTTATCGGTAATTAAAGATATGAATTGTTGAAGTTGTGCATTGACAAACGTAACTAAAGAAACGTGTCAACTAAAAAGAAACGAAAAAAGTATTTTATATGGTTTTGGAAGTAATACCGACTCATAAAATGAGAGTGAGTGATGAAATTAGAACTTATTTTTTCTCATAAGAGTATGAGACGGTGTTACAATAACTTATACATTTTCTTATACTTTGGTGCTTATATTGTTACAAGTATGACATTAGATGGTCTTCTATAAATTGTTCAACTTGCAAACACCAAATAATCAAATATACTTTGATTTCATAACTTTTTGCTGCCTCTGTAAACAAGGTAATATAAAATAAAAAGCCTAGACTATAGAGTTTTTTTTTTTTTTTTTTTTTTTTTTCATGAAATGTCACTGAGTTTTAAAAAATTTCACCGAGTGTCATTAATGACTGACAGTCGTTAGTTGACCCTACCACTTGTCACGTGTCACCTTCTGATTGTCCGTTTTTTAAATAAAAAAAAATTAAACTCAAAGGTGGCCAACCACCACCTCCTCCCCGCCGTCGAACCCCCTGCCCACCCCAAAACCCTAGCCGCCACCACCCCCTGCCACCGGGGCTAGCACCAGAAGGCGCGCCGGCCGCCGGCAACCCCTCCCCTTCCCCTCCCCTATCCCGTCGCAACCCCCTAACCCGCGAAACCCATCCCCCCCCCCCTTCCTCCACCACCCCAAAACCCCACCCCCCTTCGTCTCCCTCTCCGTTAGTTCCCCTATGTTATGCGATTTATGTTGAAATCTGTTGCGACTTGTTTATCAATTAAATTCATGTCGCATGTTACCTTGTTTGTGAATTTTCAAAGTATGATAATTGAATATGGTTTCGTTTCGGTTAATTCGTTTTATTTGGATATATTTTTGGTGAACGATGGTTTGGTAATTCTTTGTCGTTCGTTTTATTGGAATCGGAATAATGATCATAGATTTGCGTTTTTTTTTTTTTTGTGAAATCAATTTCACTGCATTTGCTGCAATATGGTTGTGAACTAACGGAGAGGGAGAGGAAGGGGGTGGGGTTTCGAGGTGGTGGAGGAAGGGGGGTGGGGTTTTGCGGGGGTCGCGACGGAATAAGGGAGGGGTAGCCACGACCAACGTGCTTTCCAGTGCTAGCCCCGGCGGCAGGGGGTGGTGGTGGCTAGGGTTTTGGGGTGGGCAGGGAGCTCGACGGCATGGAGCCACCACCTCTGAGTTCCTTTTTTAAAAAAAAATTTGTGTTATTTTTTTTTTGTTATTTTTTTTATTTTAAAAAATGAACCAATCAGAAGGTGATACGTGGCAAGTGGTGGGGTCAACTAACGGCTGTCAGTCATTAATGGCACTCGGTGAATTTTTTAAAACTCGGTGGCATATGGTGAATTTTGAAAAGGTTCATGGCATTTGGTGAATTTTACAATTGCTCAGTGGCATTTCATGAAATAACCGTTTTTTTTTTTTTCAGGGTTAATGTCTAGGCTAAGTTTTCTTTTTTCTCTACATTTTTTTGGGACAGCTAAATATCTAAAATAGTTGATTAGCTTATTTATTACTACGGATTAAGGCTTGTTCTAGTACCTACTATCTCCGTTCTTTTTTTTTTAGTTGACGCGTTTTGAATTTAGCATTATTCACACACTCCCTTATTACCGTGTTTTGTGCTTTATACGTAATGAAAAATATAGTCATGTGGGATCTTGTTAGATTCGTCACGATATATATTTTCAAAATATCAAATTTAATAATTTTTTGTTTATCGGTAATTAAAGATATGAATGGTTGAAGTTGTGCGTTGATAAACGTGACTAAAGAAACGTATCAACTAAAAAGAAACGGAGAAAGTATTAACTTATTTCTTAAAAAATTATATCTTAGACAAGGTAAATTTAATAAATTCTACGAGTACTAATATACAGGGAGTAAATGAGTAATAATTTAGGTTGAGAATTTCAGGTCAACATGACAACATGGGCTTATAATCTTGGGACTTGTTATTCATCGCCCGCAAATCTCTACATAAAGCCCACATTTTATAATTTTTTGACAAATTTGCCCTTTTTATAATTTTAACGGAAGATAAATTTTTCGCACTAAAAAAATGTGGAGCAGCACCGGATCGCCGAGGATCACCGGAGAATCGCCGTCGTCATCGGAAAACGAGGTTCGTAACGCATCGTAAGGACGAAATGGTGGCTGGCGCCTAGCCAAAAGGCCATGCCGTGGTTGTGGCGCCTAGCCAGGACGCCGCCACCGTGGTCACGGCGCCTGGTGGAGATGCCTCGACCATAGTAGTGGCGCGTGGCCAGGACGCCGCAGCCACGGCCAAGGCGCCTGGCCAGGACGCCGCCACCATGGCGGCGGCGTCCTGACCAGGCGCCCCGGCCGTGGCTCCGGCGTCCTGGCCACGCGCCAATAGGGGAATATTTTTATTTTATTTTTTTTTTATTTTTTAATTTAATCCCCTTTTTTTTTTTTGTTTGTTTTTGTTAATTTAATCTTAATGTAATTATATTTATACGTTATATGTTATTGTTACAGGATTATGGTGGAGACGGAAATGATTACAGTGGGATTTTTGTACATGATGGCCTGTTCGAAGATGCTCAACAAGCGATTGATTGGGCAAAACAGGTTGCAATTAGATCAGGCTTTTGTTTAGTAGTAGCAACTCATAAATCTCAACGGGATGGTAGAATGGATCGCATTTTGAGATGCGACCGTTATCGCAAAAGAGAAGAACGAGATTTCAGTAAAGCGATTCGGTTTGACTCAAAGCGGAAAGGTTGTGGGTGTCAGTTCCGAGTTAAGGTTCGACAACATCAAAGGCGTGACGGTTGGGAAGTGAAGGGTTACGGCAAATGGGGGTATCACAACCATGAGCTGATAGCATACAAAGTGGGGCATCGGCAGTTAAGCGGCCTAAGTCCAGCTGCGAAACTAGTTGTAAAAGAAATGAGTGATGCTCAAGTGAAGCCCGCTAAAATATTAGCGTCTGTGTTAGAGAAATTCCCCGAAGACCAGCCAAACCGAAGACACATCTACAACGTCAGACAGAAATTGAGGTTTGAACGGTCAGAGGGAAGGAACCCTATACAGCAGCTTCTGCACCAGGCACAAGCACGTGGTTACCTTTACTGGTTTGAATCTGACGAAGACACATCGGAGGTAACTCATTTGTTCCTTGTCCATCCTGATTGTGCTGATATGATTTCGTCTTGGCCATCTGTGATTTTGATCGATTCAACGTACAAGACAAACAAGTACAAGTTCCCACTGGTTGAGATGGTTGGGATGGCTCCAACGAACCAGAACTTTCTGATTGGTTATGCAGTCATGAAGGATGAGACGGCTGCGAGTTACCGTTGGGTGTTGGAAAAGTTGAGAAACTACATCGGCCCAAATGTACAGCCATCGGCCATCGTAAGTGATTGTGAGGGAGGTCTTTTTGCCCCTATAGCGGAGCTGTTTCCGGAGTCGAGCCATTTACTGTGCACATGGCACATCAACAACTGCGTGAAAGTCAAAGCCTACAACCTTTTCAACAAGAACTTAGATTCAGCAGAGAGATTGGTAAATGGTAAGTGGCGGAAGATCCTGCAAGCTACCACGGAGGCAGAGTACGATCGAGCCTTGGAAAACTTAAAGGATGCGTACAAGTGGTGCCCGCCAATCGTAGACTATGTGATGCATCAGTGGGTACCTCAGAGGGAAAAGTTTGTCAAATATTGGACGAACCAAGTTCTTCATTTTGGGAACACTACGACATGCAGAGTCGAGAGCGCTCATAGAGCTTTGAAGGACTGGATTGATTCTTCCACGGCTGCTCTGGATACACTGTTCGAGAGAATAAACAAGGCTATTGATACTCAGAGGAACGGCATCAAGAACTATCTCGAGGACTCCAGACGACGACATGGCATGTTGTATGGCCATTTCATATTTAAGATTCTCCACGGTCGTGTGTCACACCACTGTTTGGGGTTGATTCTGAGCGAGTATACCAGGATGAGGGAGTTGGGCGATGAAGTGGCTATTCGGTGCGGATGTGCTATATCAATGACTCATGGATTACCTTGTGCATGCACCATTCACCGCGTAATTACGCAAGACAGGGCGTCGTTACATGTCGATCAGGTTCATCCATTCTGGCGGACGCTCGTTATCGGAGAGCATGCTGTTCCGCATACGGTTCACCGTGAACAGGAGGAGTTGGAGCAGTTTCAGATGATGTTTGACCAAGTGTCCTCCAGTCACCCTTCGATCATTCGTAGTGCTACACACATACTTCATGACATGTTCAATACATCGTGTTTGGATACCGAGGAACCGGAAGGGGTCGAGCGACCTAGGGGTCGACAACCACGGCGGAACAAGAGTGCGTTTGAGTACATTCGCGGTCGTGGCCGTGGCCGTGGCCGTGGTCGTACATCCTCATCAAGTGGCAGCCAATCATCGTCGTCGGTGAATATGCCCGGCACCGGTAAGACATTCGACTTCAATTTCTTTTGTTGACTGTTTGATTAGTTTACTGTTGACTTGTTTATTGTGTTTATTGATGTGTGTAACAGGGAGAATGGACATTGAACATTTTCCATATAAGGACAGGATCCCTAATATCATGATGCCATTCTTGGACGGGTGGAATGATGTCATTGCAGATGGTAACTGCGGATTTCGGGTTGTGGCGGATGTGTTTCAAATGGGTGAAGACAACTACGGTTTAGTGCGGCAGTTGATGTACAGTGAAATCGCATCAAACCGAGATGTGTATGGCCATGTGTACGGCGAGGACTTGGATAGGTCTCTGCAGCGTATCCGGTGGGGAGGGGGACCTTGCGGTCAAAATCATTGGTTCGATGCGCCACTTGATCTCTTTGCCGTTGCAAACATCTACAAGTGTGCAGTCATGCATTTCGGCCTTGGTTTACATAGTCGAGCCTATTATCCATGTACAACGGTTCTGCCCTGGTGTTCGCGCGAGACCGTCACCAGACCGGTAAGGGACGTTGCTATTGGATTTCTTGGGCCGTCATACAGACATTTTATCCGATTAGACATGTCACCCGATTTTCCGGTCCCAAATATCATACCGAAGTGGTATGAAATTCGTAGAGCAAGCGTGGAGGGTTGGGATGCTTTGTACCATGCTCGCGTGCAACAGTGGAACAATTTAATTGCCATGTAGTTTTTGTTGATGTACACCTACCTTTTACTATGAGGCCTTGTATTGTCAATACTATGTCATTTCTATGTGTTCATTTTTAAAAGATAATGTTTCATTTTAAAAACTAACAACAATAATTTCAAATATTACAAACTAAAAAGATAATATTGAATTTTAAAAACTAAGAACAATAATTTCAAATATTACAAACTAAAAAGATAATGTCTAATTTCAAATATCAGTAATCCCTCTGTGACGCCCACTGCCACTGCTCAAGGGTCCGTTCCAGATCGTCAATAACAGCTCTGCCTGATGCACTCGTCATGCAGTCCCTTTCCTCAAAAAGTCGGTGTCCCAACTGCATAATCTTGCCCATCCACTACACAAAACAAAAAACATCAAACGACGTATTATACATATATATATTAAAATAAGAGAACAACAAATAAAAGATGAGACGTACCGCATAAGAGGCAGTGGCAGGTGGCACATCGTCATCATCTGCGTCGTCGATGTCTTTGATCAACCTCGGGTGCGAGTGCCGGATGTACCATTCCATGTAGTGCTGGTCACACATGGCAGTCACCCCACTTGGCGGCCGCTGCAGCTCCGCCGTCCATAGGCGGGCAACCATCGGAAACTGCTCCCACATGGATATCATGTTTGACGGCCATTGGACGACGTACTCCTTCGACGACGCAGATCGTACCGCCTTACTGGGCCATGCCGGTGGAGGTGGGACAACTTGGACAAATCCAAGCTGGCGAAGACAGCGCTGCGGCATGTACGCCTCTACGATCTCGCGATACTGAATCAGTCCAGTGTAGAGGGTCCTGGGTACCCTATTACTAGGGTTCTGGCCGAAAGGCATCCAGTTCACCTGCACATTATTTAAAATCAGTAACAGTCATAAAATAAAGCATCAGATTGTAAAAGTAGAAATAATTTAATCACTGTACCTCTAAGGGGGACATCCTGTCAAGCGATAACCGTATGGAGCGCAGGCGGTCAACGGACTTCTTCTCGACACGCGGACTCCACGCACAGGCACGTGGCTGGCCATCACCAATGGGAACCGGGTCGCGGTGTGGTCGAAACGCAGGAAAATACTCGTATATCCAGGTCTGTAACAACGTCAGACATCCAGTGATACCTGCTGCATCAGCCCGGCTCGAGAATCCTAACTGGCGATACAGATACGCCAGCGTAGCCGACCCCCAAGAAAACGGGCCTACTCTGTCGGGCTCACACGCGTCAACTATGTCGCGTGGCCTGAGCTTGTTCCCGCTCTTATCCGGAAACAAGGTACACCCGAGAAGAAGAAAAACATATGCAGCCAGCTGTGTGTCCTGCGTCCTACGTGCCGTAGGGTGCAAACATCGCTGCAAGACGGCTGCGATCTTAACGCCGCCGTGATCCCACACACCAAGTGCCGATGTGTACAGCGCAGCCCTATCCACCGCCAACAGCTCCGCTAGTAAATCTGCCTGATCCGCATCAGTGACGACAGATGCTCGGTTTCCCTCCACGGGAATCCCAAGGATGGCCTCGACGTCATGCAACATGATCGTCATCTCACCGAACGGAAGGTGGAACGAGTTCGTATCCGGCTGCCATCGCTCAACGAAAGCCGTGATCAGCGTCCAGTCAATCCTGTCGTGCATGGTGGCAGGAAGGTGACTCACTCTAGTGGCCCTCAATCGCCCGACCATCTCGCTCTCCTCCGGCCAAGCATCAGCCCAGCTACACAAAAACCTACAAGTCTTTTCCCGGGTTTGGCATTTCAAAATGCCTGTATCCAAAGCCCTCTCCTGGTCCTCCCAAATACGGGTAGCGATGTGTCCTAAAAAGCTAGGAATCACACTCCCGTCTATAGGTCCCCCGGCCACCTCACCCCTCACCATCCAAGAATCATTAACGGCCCTCGACCGTTTTCTGCTACCCGCAGACACAGTGGACGCAGATGATGTGCCAGATCTACTAACAAACCTACCATCTCGACCCTTACGCACATCTACCCTATGCGTCTCATACGTATCATCAAGTCTCTGACTGAATGGACCGTAATCATCATATGGTCCACTCTGATCGTCGACATCCTCATCTGCATCATCCTCGTCCTCGACCTCCTCCTCCTCGACCTCCTCCTCCTCCTCCTCATCATCATCATCTTGATCGTCCGCAGAACAGTGCACCCGTTCTCTGCGGGCCGAGGCCGAAATACCACGGGATCTAACGTGTCTGGGCCCCGAGCTCTCCATAGAGTAGATCGTACTCCTCACGACGTCAATACTCTTCCCCGCACCAGGTCTAAATTGCGATGCCTAACTCCAAGTAAATAACGAAACATAATAACGAAAACAAATTAAAAAAAGTCGAAAATAAACACAAAAGCAAATAAACATGTCACGGAAATAAAATTATAAACATAAAAAATATAAAATTAAAACAAATAAAAAAACAAAATTTTAAAAAAAAAAGATAAAAAAAAAAGGGAACATACAATTTAAAATAAAGAAAAACAAATTTTTTTAAAAAAAAAAAAAAAAATCGAAAATAAAATTTAAAATTAAAAAAAAACAAAAAAAAAATTTTTAAAAAAAAAAAAGAACGAGGCGCCTAGGCAAGGCGCCCGTGCGGTGGTGTCGGCGCCTAGCCCAGACGCCACTACCACGGCCGTGGCGCCTAGCCTCTGCGCCGCCGCCGTGGTAGTGGCGTCTGGGCTAGGCGCCGCCACCACCGTACGGGCGCCTTGCCTAGGCGCCTCCTCCGTGGTGGTGGCGTCTCGCCTTGGCGCCACACCGTCGCCGGAGGTTTTTTTTTTTAAAAAAAAAATTACAAAAATTAGAAAAATTACCTTCTGGCCGGCAAACCGCCTTCCGCCCACCGCCGGTGCCGCCACTTCCTTGCCGGGCCGCCTAGACATAGCTCTGGAAATAATTTAGAGAGAGAAAGTGGAAGTAGAGAGTAGAGAGAGAAATTGTGTGTTTTTTAGTATGAGGGCAAAAGTGTCATTTCACTCTTATTTTGTGGGCTTTATGTAGGAATTTGCGGGCGATGTTTAACAGTTCACATAATCTTTACCTAAGTTCAATTCAACCCTATGACAAGTTCATATTCAAAAAATAGTACTCTTGTTCCTATTTCTTTGCCCCATTGCAAATAAATGGGTTAAGCTTCAAAAATTTTGACCATAAATTCTCATTAATCAATAATAGGTAAAATTATCGTGTGTCTTTAAAAAAAAAATTAATAATAAATAAATAAATAAATAATCATGTGGAGTCTTGTTAGATTTGTCTCAAGTTTTTATAATCTTTATGCATATAGAAATGAAGTTATATTCGTTTTAAAACGCGTCTGGAAGACTATGAAAATTCAAATGGAGCAAATATATATATATATATATATATATATATATATATATATATATATATATATATATATATATATATATATATATATATATATATATATATATATATATATATATATATATATATATATATATATATATATATATATATATAGATAAAGTAATACACTTATACACACCATTATTAGTCTCATTACTCTCATATATCAAGAGTCGAGCGTGTCCTAGATTAAAGATTTTATCTAAACAACTCATGATGCAAAAATCTTGCTTTCATCTTTAATTTAATAATGGTAGATCAAAATTTTACGCATTAATCAATCTTCTTTCTCTTTTTATAGGCCAACGATTCTACCATGCACATGAAAATTATTGAGAGTGATAGTGGTGCATCCTATTAAACATGTACACAACAGTACAACACACATATGTATAAAATCGTGCAAGTTTACTCGCCTTTTTTATGCACACATTTTCAATCGACGCAATAGTTATGAGCTTAATCTATGATGCTTGCAAATGCATCTAATAAGTCGTGCTAGTATAACAATTGTCCCAGAGTCCCCGTCCCAATTGTGTGGTGTATTGCATATTTGCGGGCTATCTTCTCTCCGACCACTTTACTAATAATACTAGATAGGCATACCCTAAAGAAGGAGGGCAGGTATAAGGTTTGGGGATTAAAGTTGAAAAATAAAAAACAATTTTACCCTTGATGAAAGAGAAGGAAGAGGAGAGAAGAGAAATGTTAGTAAGGATAGTTAAGTAATTTTACAACTTATCTCAATTTAACTGAATTGCTATTTGACGAAATAAAAATACTCAAGCTGACAATGTTAATTACCTTCATACCCTTATTTTCAAATGTTATTACATCCTCACCCATACTTACCTTCAAACCACAAGTTCATACCACCACACCACAACACCTACACTGTCACCACCACTAATACCCCAGCCACCGTCACCACCACCACCACACCACCACATTAATGAACGCATAATCATGCAAAATTAAACCGAATTAAGGACGACACATATTAGAAGCAAAATTATTAATGTTGACTAATTATAAAAATTCAAATTAGATGCAAAACATTAATTTTGACTAATTATTTTCGAAATAAATAAAAAAAAATTAAACGAATTTAAAAAAAAAAATTAAAAAAAAAAATTGGTGGACATGTGTAGGAGATGTCTCTACCGTGGTAGGGACATCTCCGACAGATGTCTTTACCAATGGAAGAACATCTACAACAGATGTCCTCCACATGGTGGAGACATCTGAAGGAGATGTCTCCACCACGTTGAGGACATCTCCGACATATGTTCGTAACCAACAACAAAAAAAAACTTACCGACGTGGTGGCCAGCGTTTTCCCCCATAGTTGCTTCCCTTAACGAGGCATGATGGTGGTGGCGTTTATCTCGCGCTTGCCCTGGTCGACTGAGCCTCGCCGGTGTTGCTTGGTGGGTTGCTGCCGTCATGAAAAGGTTGTTGTCGTTTAGGCCCTGGTTGACGGAACTCGGCCGGTGTTGCTTGGTGGGTTGCTGTCGTCATGAAGAGGTTGTTGTCGTTTAGGTTGGTGTTGTGGGTGGTGGCTTGGTGAACAGTGTGAAGGAGATGGTGGTGTATGAGGTAGATTAAATCAGGGGAAGAGATTATTTATAAGGGTATATAGGTCATTTATAATGTCGCTCTAAGTATTTTATTTCGTCAAATAGTAGCTCTCCAATTTAATTTCCAAATCATACCAAAGAATGGATAACATAATTTTTATCATTATCCCACCTATTATTTTCCTATCTATATCGTACTTTCTTATCCTCATTATTCCTATCCTTGTTACCAAACAACCCGTAATTTGACAAATTGTGCCACATTTCTAGTATATGACTAAATGATTGACTAAACTTAATATGAATATCAAAAACTAATTAAGCTTGGACCAACTAAAGTCAAATACGAAGTACAAGGTACCAAACTAAGAACTACATTCTTTTTTTTCTTAACACTAAATAATGATCTTATGATTGATGGATACTGCTGCTCTTGTTTAAAAACATCACAACTCCAAAAAGAAGGTATTACAGCATGAATAGTATCTAAGACGAAACTGACGGCTATTTCCTGCTGATGAATAGTTTAAATTTCCAGTGTATACTGTTGGCCTGAAAAGTTGATGGTTAAAGCATACTTTATACAGTAAGTAATTACGGGTTTTTAAATTTACTCCCTCTGCCCGGGGTTATCTGCAACAAAGGACGATTTTGCGGACTTCTAGACAAAACTTCTTAAGTAAGATTATTGAAAAGTAAGAGGAGAGAGAAGGAATAATTAAACCAAATTAAATTAAAACACACAATTAAACAACCACCACTTACGAACACCGAACCACCGCGCTACCCCAAGAACCACCAACACCCCTCGAACCACCACCACCAAACCCCCGAAACCCACCACCAAACCCCCGAAACCCACCACCAACACCCCCGAAACCCACCAACACCCCCGAAACCACCACCAAACCCCCGCCCACAAAACCCACCTCCAAACCCACGAAACCCTCCCCCAAACCAACGAAACCCACCACCAAACCCACGAAATCCAGATCTGGAATTGCGCGACGGTGGCTGGGGTAAGGTGGCGGAGAATTGGCGACGAATTGCGGTGGTGTTGGTGGTCTGTGCTCGTCTGGGCTGGTGGTAGGGGCGGCGAAGGTGGCTGGGGTAAGGTGGTGGATTAGTTGGTAAGTCAATGTCATTAACATATTAAAAACAAAGTTAAGAGTTTTAAGTAAGGG